AAACACCTTCCAAGTTGAAATCTGGCCAATATCCTTTCTAAAAAACTCAGAAAACCAAGGAAAGGGGGACTTGAAGGAGTTAAAATCCAAAACATTTTCTGGGGGAGCCTGCTCCAAGACCCCCCTAGAAGCTTCTGCCTTAGGCACGAGTTTGGGAAATTGGTCAGTTTTTATCCTAGATCTGCGCCTGTTTCCTGTGGTGGTGTTTTATACTGGTATTCCTCTACTGGCATTTTATTACTTAAAACAGGACAGAGTTACCACCTTCCTTTCCTTTTCTTTTTTGTTTAAAGAAATCTCTATCAAAACAAAAGATCTCCTTACTGGTAGAACAGGCCAACCATTTTCTCCAGCAATTCTGGTTATAATGCTGTCTGATCCATGAATAAATTCTCCACCAAGATCAACGGGTGCAAAACCCTTGAAAGGCTGTGCTTGTTTTACTCTGCCGCCAAAATAGTCAGCGGCCTCCAAAAGTACAACTCCAAACCCAGCTTCAGAGAGCGACGATGCTGCGGCAAGACCTGCTACTCCTCCACCAACAACAGCAACTTGATTATCAGGACAAGATGCAGTACTCCCTGTAAAAATAATGTTAGGTTGTTTAACTTCAATCTTATAGCAACTCACAATAAAAATTGGAAATGATAGCTTCAAACAGGCTCTTAGTGCAATTCTTAGATCATTCATGGGTATACACTACTTTTGACAGAAAGGTTAACCCTTTCACATTCTATCTATAAAAACTGACGTGTAACATATTGATAACAATATATTATTATAAGTCTAACTAAACGCTTAGTAGCAGCTGCATCAGTACTCTACAAGATGCACACAAGTTACGTGTAGCTGACTTGAAGGATTTGTTCCCTCAACCGTAGGTGTCTCAATGTTAAACTCGATCCAGTCTGTCAATGCCGAGTCATGCGTTCTCTGTACCAGTCTCAAGAACCCACTCCACCGATAGGACTTTCATCCATACTTCAGTCAAAACTTGGAATGAACTCTGGCAGACAATGTGGGTGGAGTGATCAATGATGAAGGATTCCAGTAAGTTAAAAGCTGTGTTAATAGAGTACTAAAGTGATGACGTCATAAAAATGAAATTTCTGAAATTATGGGATTTGTCAGGATATTCTGAAAGAACAATGTCCAAGAGGCCTACTTGCCAAAAATGAGCATTTGGGGGCAAATTGTCTCTGAGATCGTAGCCCAGTTATACTCGGAAAACTCCATACAAACCCTTCTAATTTTTTTTTGGGTCGACCCAAAAAAAACTTAGAAGGGTTTGTATGGAGTTTTGTAAGCATAACTGGGCTACGATCTCAGAGACAATTTGCCCCCAAATGCTCATTTTTGGCAAGCAGGCCACTTGGACATTGTTTTTTCAGAATATCCTGACAAATCCCATAATTTCAGAAATTTCATTTTTATGACGTCACACTTTAGTACTCTATCACCATCTTTTAGCATCCTGATTTATGTAGCTATTGATCGTTGTATCTTTAACTTCTGAGCTGCTGTGAACCATTGTTTGGCCCTTTTGGATCACTGTTTTAAGTGTATTTTTCATTCATTTTGTTGCTATAATATTGTTCACTTTTGCTTGTTATATACAAAAAAGGAAAAAAAATGTTCACCTATCCCATTGACAAGAGTATCACACCCTCCCCTTCTGTTTCCCTTTCTTCAGGGGGAGGGTGCAGTACTGTTACACATAGGCAAAAGAACCTCCCTACAACTCATCTGACCTGTGTGGGACACCTCTTTATACACAGGTTCCAGTGCCTGGATGCCACCCCCTAGACATCTTAGATCTGTATACTTTCTTTTGAATTACCACCCTCTCCCTCCCAGATGAACACGAATTGTCCTTGTTCTCATACTACAAAATAGGCCATTTCTGAGTTCCCCCGGGCCTCTGTTTCAAAACGAGGTTAAGTGGTCAGCCTTTGATATGGAAATCATTTTTCATTCTCATGCAAATAAGATTGTACACTTGGCCTCATTTTGAAAGTGAGGGTTTTTGGAACTCGGAAGTGCAGAAGTGGCCTATTGGTTTGGCTAAGGATATTATATGAAGTCTTACGTAAAGTATGAATCATCAAAATTGACTTTTATGATTCTTAAGTCCAAACAATCTCTGTAAGTGATGAAATATGAAATCTATCTGTACAAAAATGCCCCAGAAATCTTACTATGAAACAAATTTTTTTTGGAAAAAAAAAAAGAATTTGTTGGGGAGGTTTATTTTGGTGGCCCATAAAGGAGAAAAGGAGATTGGTGCCATATTCTGGAGACTCCTGGATAATCCGGGAGAGTGGCATTATACGGTTCCCTGTACTTACATATTAATTAACATAAGATGACCAAATTTGGAAATGTATCACATACCATGCCAAGGGAATGCTGACATGACAAAGACTTCACTAGTTTCGTTCTCAAGACTTGTAATTAACACAAGCCACTCTTCAACTCTATTTGCATCTAGTTCTGCACTCTCCATATGCTCATTTAAAAATTCTTTCAAGAATTTCACAACATTGCTCGTTTTAATTTCATCACGCAGAGTTCCATTCTCAACTGAAAAACCTGGAACCAGATGAGGTCTGTATATAAGAAGATGGCTAAAGTTGTTTGGCTTTAACTTTTCCCAGCTGACATTTTCTGTTTCCACCATTCTAAATCCTATGTTATACAAAAAATGGGAGTAACAGCTAGTTGTCGGACTGACAACTGTAGCAATGTGGTAAAATATTTCATGGACTCTCTGAAATCCATTCCTTTGTGCTTCCTGATGAGAAATATATTAAGATTCATTAATTTTCTTTTATCAGTTCTTTACTTGTACGTATTAGAGAGTTTTAGCTTCCCATACACAGCAAACATTCAAGTTGAGAATTTCTCAAGATAGAAAATGCAGACCAGATAAAACAGCTCAAAACAATTTTTATGGATTAAAAAATTGCGTAAAACTATTAAGTTATGTGTAGAAATAATGAACAGCAAGTGACAATTTAAGGGGAAACTTGGTCATGCAGTAAAAATTCGCATTTGCGGATTGATTTATACATGAAGCTAAAACTCTCTATTGACCACACTAATAAACCTCTGGAAACAGGTGTCCCACAAAAGGTATAGTCTTCCCTTTTAAAATAGTAACTGGGAAATTGGCAATCGCTATAGTGTTCAAGGATTTGAAATATAGGGCAGCCGTATCATAAATAAACGTCCACTAACCTATGCCAAAGCAATTTGCCATCCCCACCCCCCATAGAACCCACTACATTCTGACCATACTCGCCATACCCCTTACTAGCCTGTTGCATTTGGCACTTGCATGACTTGTCGGTTATTGTTTGGGTGTCGCCCAAATAGAGTAATCGAGATCGCTTGTTTTGATTCAAAGTTGCAATAGGCACACAATACATGTGAACGTTATTAAGCCAAGACATTGCAAATGTTCAAAACACGCATCTGGGAAAGGGTCTTGTAATATTGATCTTCTGAGATCAAGATCTACTCCAATTGTACTTATTTTCCATTCAAAGTAATCAGTGAATTTATGCGCGAGATCTTCAGAGGAATCACAGGGCAGATAAAGCTTTTCAGTCCTACCTTTCAGTAAGGTTTCCAAGGTACCAAGCAATTCACTTAGCTTGGATACAAGTTTGCTAATAAGATCTGTATAATAACTTGCTTTGTACATACAGATAAGCCTACTGCAAATTGTTGCACGTAAATTTCCCTGTCTACAGTTAGTCTTCGTTTCTGCCAATGGCATTCTAGTCTTCTCCATTTTGCTTTCTGTTTCTTGATCTCGGGGGTGAACCAGGGAGACTTTGGACGCAAGGTTACAATCTTATTTCTGACAGGAGAATGATTATCAAGTAGCGTGGTTAATTTCCCATTGTATGTTTCATGTAAGTCACCATTATGTCATTACATTATGCACATAAAAAACTTCACATACGTCTCAACAACGATGCCAAAATATATGCTCCCACAACATCTTTTTTAAAAAAGAAATCCCGATTTTACATACTGAGAAGGTTCAACAGTCTGTAATATGAACAGAAGATTAACTTTAGGTTGTGATTGTGTGAAGACCTTGTGAAAACTTGTGTTCACTAAAACATTAAAATCGAACTTAAAAACTTCTCTTGGATAATGTCTCCTGCGACCAGAAAATTTCACAAAGAAGGGGTTGGGAGAATTCTCAAAAGTTATACAGACCCCAGAAATTAACTTGGGTTCCATAAACTGTCTTGAATTCTCCCAACACCTCATCTTAAGTTTATATAATTAGTTTTTCATTGTAAACACAGAAAAAGGTTACTCATTGGAATGCTTAAACTTACCTCAGAATAGCAATATATGCCTGTTAATGTATTTTTATATAAGCTTAAGCTTATTCACCTTGTTTAAATTAATTTCTGCTTCTTCAATCAACCTTTTTCCCCAATCAAAATTTAAGTTGTTCTTTTCACTCTGACTTCCTCCATATTTCAGGCATAAAAACCTAACAAATCCACAGTTAGATTCTGGTAAATACTGCACAAAAAGTACCTCCAAAATGTTCTCTTCTATAAACTCATTTTCAAAATCAGAATTCTCCTGTCGAAATAGCGCAAGGTAAAAACTGTGGAAACTTTTCGTTGGTTCATTTAGAAACTCTGTGTGGATTCCATTAGTTGACGATCTCAGAAATCTTGAGTTCTTTGCAGATTGAAGCAAGATTTGTTCATAGAAAGCCTTCTCCGTAAATTTCAAAATTTTCATTCCAATCAATGCTCGGTGCTTGTTCGTGCATGTGCTGAGCTGTTGTGTAATACAATGCCTAACTGTCAGCGGTCTGACACTACTTATGCGCAGTAGTCCCATTCCCCCGCGGTTACGTCACCGTGCCTTTATTTTTCTCGAGTTTTCTTTCACGAAAAAAGTTCTCCCGGTAATCACAAGTCACTTAGAACCTTTTTTAAAGTTTTCAGCCTACCAATATGTCTATACGTGAAGCTAGTCATTCAGGGAGCTGGTATCCTTCTAGTGGTATGAAGAATTTTCGAAAATCGCTCTCTATTTGAGACTATATAAAACGCGAAACAGTGACGATGAATTTGAAGGCCTTTGTTGTTTTGTTTTTTTTGTCCATGAAAATCCAGCCAGGGAGCTGAACGCGAAGTTAGAAGGATGGTTATCCAAAGCCAGTCCCTCGTTACGACCAGCCAAGGCGATTATAGCACCGTAAGTATATGCAATGTTTCCGAAATTCGTCTACCGATTGAAGTACTTTTAAACAGATGGGCTATTGTTAAAAAACTCAAGCTGTTCCTTGTGATATTTTCATGAAAGGCACGCCGGCTATCAGTACTGTGGTTCGTGTGGAGCCCATGCTTACAAACAAGTTGACCCGAGTAGAGTGTAAGTATAATTTCAATGCTTCCTACAATGCAAATAACAAAACGCGAATGCCTTCCTTTTAAATATATTTTTTTAGGGAAGAAAGGAGTACATACACTTATGTAAATAAGGTGGAAGTTCATGTCAACAGCTTATCGTCATCAAATTCATATAGACATGTATAAGCTTTAATATTCCCTTATTGCTTTTTACCGTAATGCATTGCAATAATCTACTTGATCATGGTAGTTATAATCAGGAAGAGTCACAATGTATTCAAGGATACGATGATTTAGGGTAAATTCAGTAGGATACAAGTTTCCTATCCCGACAAATTCCTCTTCACCATTTTTCTAGCATGTAAATTTTAACATGTTTCATAGAGACTTATTTTATAGTCAGACATTATTATTTTAATAAAGTTCTTTTTTTTCTTCCTTTCATCCACCTGACATTATTTTGATACTGTAAGATATTTCTTATAAAATATGTTGTTTAGATTTTTTCTCCCTGCTTTTTGAAAAATTCAATGATGTTATGAACAATATTTTTCATTGTTGTAAGCTTCTGCCAGGAAAATAATAATCCTTTTTAAATTTACCCTCAGGTTCAAATACAGACTTTTTTTTTGCCATAAGACCATCTCCTTTTTTTTCTTCATTTTACCGTCAAATACGTTTCCTGATATTGGGTCGGTCGGTCAGATTGAAAAAAGAAAACTTTAAAAAAAAGATCATAAGAAGTCTTGGAATAGTAGGCCCTGGTACCCCAGGACAATGTTAAAAGTTAACATTCACATATTTGGATTAACAAAATGTACAATATACTGTGAAAAATGTTCATGTTTTTGTTCCTATTTTTTTTTATGCTGTTACTATGCTCATTTTTCAGATTAAAAGAATTATTTCAAGTGAAAAATGGTGTAATTACGTCATAACTTTTTTTTTTTTGAAAATGCCAAAAATTTGGGTTGGTCAGACGACGGTAAAGGGAGAAAAAAAAGAGGATGGCCTAACATTGTAAAATTATCTAGTGCATATTTCAATAAATAGTATTGTTATTAGTATTTTGTCTGTGCAAAGGATTTAATGATTTGAATCAGAAACAGTGTCTAGGGAGGTTGGATTTTCTGTTGTATTTAAATTGTCTTTAGATAAAAAATAACACAATATTGCAGTGTGATAACTCCCTGATCAAAAGGACTTGGAAAGGTATCAGGAAAATCAGCAAAAAATAATGAAAAAGTATTGTTTAAACTTTATATATGAGGAAATACATGTTCAAATGCAGCCATATTATTTTCTTGTCCCCTAGTTTTCTTTTCATTAATCAAGCACCCTTTTTCCCACTCGTTTTTCTTTCAAGGTAGCCTCCTGGACCTTTCAATCAGCCTATTTTCAAAAAATGTCTTAGTAGAAGTTATTTAGTGATAATCTTAAATTATTGTAACATGATAAATTATTAAAAAGACGATAAAAAATAATTATTATTCACTGAAGTGGAAGTGGCTGGTGGTGGATATTTACCACGGTGAAACAGTGAGCTAAATATCCTCCTCTACCCACTGACACTGAGGTGAATAATTGTTTTAGTTAGTATATACTAAAACAGTGTGATAACTGAGCCAAAAAAGGTATTGATTTTTAACTTATTTATTGCTGCCAATGATTACAATTTTGGGGCACAATTGACTTAATGGCTGTCATGTTTTTGTACCAATAAACTTTTGAAGGCCTTTATTTAGCTGCTGCGGGGTCATTTCTTTCAAAAGGAATGGTTAAATATTTCTCTATATGAAACCATTCTGTAATAAAAACCCATTCCATTTAGTTTTAAAGTAACTCATGAAAATGTCAGCTAAATAATAGTAACTCAAGACTTAATTTGCATTTGCAAACAAATAACTTTTCCATCAGGTTCATCGATAAATTCTGGTTAAACAGACAAAGCCTTTAACAGCACTGAATATCTTGAGTTTGAGTAGCCAATCAGAGTGCATGAAAAACACCATCCACTGTTTTTAATACTTTTTATCTAAAACAACTATTTTGTATCTATATTCCTTCTACTCATATTCTTGTTTGGGTCACCTACTCGGTTATACTAGTTTGATGAACTATTTAGGTGTCCCAAACTCCACACAATGAACCTACAATTGAAAAATTTATTTTCCTTCACAATCTCTCGATTTTATGTTTTAAAGCACTAAATTGTATTAATTATTATTCTGTGTGAGTTTAAATAAAAATTGACTTGACTTGACTGATGATAAATATTGTCATTTTACCCTTTTCTTTGGGTCATGTAGCAGCTACTCAGAAGAGAAGTCACCAATGGTGCGTTTCCGTGACCCCAAGCAATAGTAAAACCATTGGACGAATGACATGTCATTGTTTCCTGCGACCAATTAGGAGAGACCTTACGATCAGCTACTACACTACCCTTTTCTTTAGATTGGTTAGACTTGAAAGCAGTTTTGCCAGATTTATTCAAAACTCTACGTACAAAAGTCTATTCAAAAGAGTTAACTGAATTTGTGGTCTTAACATACCTGTTGTTTGGTAGATTGTTGCCAAAGTAGAGGTGTGGCAAATGAAAAGGTGTTTCATAATAGGTGACAGTTATCATAGGTGTTTTGAACTGTTGTAATAACTTAACAAGATATGGCAGGGCTTTATAGCAGTTAAATGACCTTTTTTGTGGTATATCAGTAACTCGACAGGTAGCATAACATGACCTGTGGGTCATGTGCTGCCTTAATTAAATGCATCATAGGCAATCAAATTACAGTCATACAGTGTATGAATATTATCTTTTATTTTCTTTGGTCGTCATCATCATTGTTATAAACATTATTACTTTTTGTGCCTGTTTAGAAAGCGGATATTTATCTTGGGGCCATCGCATCACAAGTACCTACCAGGCTGTGCGATAACAAGTTTAACACATTATGAGACACCACTTTACAATTTAGCAGTAGACACTGTTGGTAAGTTTACTAGTTATGTTTTCCTTTATCATTAAGGTTGTTTAGTACATGGAGAGGCTGAGATTGGTAATATATAACAATTATTCGCCGAGGGCGAAGTTAATATTGTTGAATAATCCCCGAGACGAAGTCGAGGGGATTATTCAACAATACTAACTGAGCCTGAGGTGAATAATTGTTTTAGTATATTCACACGAAGTGATCTCAACAGAATCAGAAAGGAAACCATTAAAAAACGATTAGTTTGATTGACAGGTGAATTTATGCTTAAAAGTTAGATCTTTACAGTATCTTCAAACATGGCAAATGATAGTTTTAATCCTTTTGTATCGAGTTTTGTAAGCTTTAGCATCAACGGTTTAAAAGAAAACGCCAAAAATTTAAATTACTACCCAATTCTGAGGAGAAAAGTATCTAGAGCTTTATTTGTTTCTGTCAACTCACCGTGAATGAGAAAGTTTTCTTCGTCGCTTCTTGCAAATGCTGTCAACAGCGGCTGCGATCAAGGTGAGCGTTGTTTATCTCCAAAGTTCTTTGCCTTGTTAACTTGCTGGCACGTACAATTTTCGAAAATATTTGCCTTCCCCTCTTCTCCATAAATTAAATTCTATTTATAGGCAAAATTGGTCTTGTGAGAAAATCCCGAAATCACAAAACAGTGACAAAGCGACCTCGTTTTCCTCTGTAGTGGTAAACATAGCTTCGAGCGTACAAAAAGTCAGCTAAAGTAAACCACTTCACAATAAATCACGCTGTTTAAACACCATGAAGTCTTTTCTTGCCTTCAAAGTCATCGGCACTTGGATATTCGTGTACTTTCAAAAAGGTTTTACTTTGAAACTTTGGCAAAACACCCAGTTCACGACAGCGATTTTGTTCGGCTTTATATTCACCGCAAAGGGCGGTGAATATAACGCCATAGTCCGAGATAGCTAACCAATCAGATTGCTTGAATTACCAAGATCACTGAGTGTGTATATACTAATAATTATTATTCATTGCTGCAAGACAATATAATAATTATCGAGTTCCCAGTGGTTTCATTTCTTTTGCAGTAAATGAGGAGTTGTTTGCTACAGGAAAGTTTGAGAAGCTTAGTCGTTCTGATGATGAACATGAGCATAGTATAGAACTTCATTTACCATACATCGCTAAAGTAATGGAAAGGTACATGTGCAACTTTTGTATACACTTGCCATAGCTTGTTTGTGTGTATGGTTGTCTTGTGGTAAACACATCAGCCTTTGGATCTGTAACTCTTTGTTCAAGCCTTTCCATAGGCAAGGAACTTTGCTTCCCATTTTCTCTCTCCATCTAGGTGTGACATGCTGGTGTAGATTTTTTTCTTTTGACAACCTATGTCTAAGCCCAGTTATAGGTAAAAGTCTACCTCTTCAACTTTCCAAAAATGGCTTTCAGTTATCCAGTTGAGTAGAATAAAAGCAAGAAAAAAATCTATAAATACATAATTGACACTGGAGGTACTGTATGTTCAATCAAGCGTGGCGCTGGGTGACAACCTTGGGGCTCAGGTTGTAAATTGTGGGTAGTCGTCATGTACATTAACCAACTGTTTCCAGGGGAGAATTCCTGTCCTGTATTAATGCTTCTAAATTATTTTGCATACCATAAACTTCCCCTTATAAACCCTTCCCTCCCAGGTATAGGTCTATCTACCTGTAAACAAAAAAATACTTCTGTTTATAAGCCCCCCTCTAGCTGGTGTTGAAATGAATTTGAGTTTTTAAAAAAGCAATTAAATTCAAACAGTATTTTGATCAGCACTACAGATGTAGCTTGTTTTGAAATGCCTTTTTTAATCTGGTTATAAGCTCCCCCGGACTTCCTCCCTGGTTTATAAGCCCCCCTGAAACCCCTTACAAAGCTCTATAAGCCAAGGGCCTACAATATCTGGCAGATTACGCCAAGTTCGTTAGGTGTATGTGCAATTGACTCTAAACTTGCCTGTTTGGTCGTTGGAAAGACGTAGATATGGTATGTGAAAAGTTAAAAATGCCATGCTAATCATTCTATCTCCGATCTTTTTTATGTAATAGTAATTTGGACTGTGAAGGTAAAATTTTTTCCCTACTTCTCCCCCTTTTGCAGCAAAAAGGATCAATTTACAATAGTTCCAATCCTTGTTGGCTCCCTAAATTCTGAAAGTGAGGCAAAGTTTGGAAAGCTCCTGAGCAAATATCTGATCCGGCCAGAGAACCTTTTTGTTGTCTCCTCTGATTTTTGTCATTGGGGTAAGTTTCCTAGTTTATAATGAGTACAAAGTCATTTTTCTGTGCATGATTGGACAACGATCCAAGCTGCGACCGTTTTGCTCACGGTGACAAGTTGAAAAACATATTGGCAACTAAAGTTAATGCAGTGAAAGTTGCCAATTTGTTGACCTGTGTTCAGTTGGGCTAGATTACAGAATATCCATCCACTTGCATTTGGCCTCAAAAACTGCCACCGCAGTCACCCAGTAGTCTATAATTTACCTTCAATGTTAATAATTATTCTTAAGCAAGGAAAGGAAACGAGCACACTATACACAGTCAACACCAGAGTCAACACGTGTAATATACCTCGTTTTTTAATCCACAAATCACAACTTAGCCAGTTGAAAAATTATAAAGCAGCCACAATTTTCTTCTGGGAATGTAGACTCTGGTGCCAGTCCATTTAGCTGCTTTTATTTAACATTCTTGTTCATCGACTAAGAGACTGCGGCCATGGTGGCAGTCCATTTAACCACGTGTATTTAACATTCTTGTTCATCATCTGAGAGACTGTGGACCACAGTGGCAGTCAGCTATTTAACTGCTTGATTTTAGCTTTGTTATTCATCGACTAAAGAACTGCAGACTGTGGTGGAAGTCCATTACAACTGCTCGTTTTTGACATTTTTATTCAATGGTTATGATTTTTATTCAGTGATTATGGGACAGTGACAGACCCCATCTTTAAGGACCATGGTATACTAAAATTTAATGATATCCATTTGCTTCAACTGGGCCAATTTATGTATTCGTGCAAAACTTCATTCTTACCTCAAAGGTTTAATAACAATTTCTCCCAAAGCAATAAATTCCACTCTTACAACACAAGAAATTCCCAGGCCTACCGTCTACCGTATTGCTGTACAAACACTAAGAAGTTCTCGCCCTTTTTTCAAGGGCCTAAGTTTTTTTATTCATTTGACAACGAGGTCATCAACTCTCAATCCCTTTCCTCTTTTAAGAAAAATCTGAAGATTAAATTATTGAGTAAATTAATATAAAAACAGTTCATAAATCTTTCCATCTTCAACTTTTCTTTAATTGATGTTAAACAGCTCTAACCTGTAGTTCGAGGAGGCCTAACTTCTCATAAGCTCCTATAGTTTCTGTTAGGTCTCCTCGCCACTTCTTTTTTTCTCTGTTTTCCTTTATTTTTTGTAATTATTGTGTGGCAAATAAGATAAAATAAATAAAAATAAAAATGAATAAATAAGGTAGTAGTACTGCTTTTAACTGGCCAGGTATTCTGCAATCGCTCCTTCAGTTGTAAGGTGCCAAGCCATGGTGTTTTTATAACTTTTTAAAGTTTTTTATAACTTTTTTTTGAAATAAACATTTTTGTTGTTGTTTATTTTTAATTTTTCTTATAATTCACCTCTTTCACACTGGCCAAGCTTGGATTACTGTACCCAGATTCTCCATTGTTATTGCAATGTTTAATAATAAGACTCTCCTTCTTTAATAACTGGATTTTGATTTTTGATTTTTCAGGAAAACGTTATAACTATACATCTTGGGATGGGCGTCGTCCTATTTATAAGTATATTGAAGCTTTAGACAGAACAGTAAGTTCAGATTTAATAGGGAGCTTAAGCAATGACAACGGCAACAGCAACAGCAAGAGGAACGGCAAAAAAGCAATAGGTTTAGGTCATGTTTTGTGGAGGATGTAAGTTACAAGACAATGACCCTCTTTTTCTTTTCTTGAACTTTGATACAGTCCCTTAGAATCCAACTCCAGTCAATTTCGCCAACATTTGACAAATTGAACAAAATGGAATAAACGCGATGAAGTTTGAAGCAGTGCGAACACACTTTTTTAACCGACATTTTTGTAGCTGTTGCCATCACTGTTACTTAAGCTCCCTAATGAAGAACATGAATGACTTCAAATGAATGAAATATTAATTTTACATAAACAAAAAAACAAAATATTAAAGATACATTCACAATGCCTTTGTTTAATTTATTACAGGGCATGGATGCTATAGAAAAACTTGAGCCTGGAGGATTCACTGAATATTTAAAAAATTCTAAGAACACGATATGTGGTCGACATCCCATAGGTGTTCTGCTCAATGTAAGTGTATTTTTTTTTAGAATAAATAACTGAAAAGTACTGCTCACTTTCTTTGGGTGATCTTATCTCATCCGGCCCAGTCAAAATGTTTTATGGTAGTAGGCAGGATAACCAGAGTAGCATGCAGCAAAGGCCTTTGTTTTTGTGGTTTTTATGAGATATTTCTAAACTCAAGTATTCAGTAGGCGGCAAAACTGTCAGTTGCTGGCTCATTTTGGCTGGGTTGCTTATCTACAACCCCTTAAGCGAGAAATACCTTAAATATGGCATGATGACAGTTACAACGGCAAAGCTTTGCTATCCCTTTAAGCCCCAATATCAACATACAAATTCTCCAAACTGATCTCTATACATTTCCTTAAAGAATTAGTTAAGAGATTTTGATAAAAGATCAAGGATTTTTCTCTTTGTGACCATTTTCTTAATTCTCATAACTTATCTCTTGACAATGTATGGTTATCATTAGGAGAAAATTGATGTTGGTCACTATTGGGACTTAAAGGGTTATATGTTAGTATTTCATCCACAGACTCAGTGGTTGTCTGTTGCACTAACATTCAGTAACATCGACATAATAATAATAATATTATTGTCCTTAATGAAATGCAGGCAGTGGAAGTCTTACGGCAGATGAATGGTGTAACTCATCCATGGACATTAAAGTTTATTCATTATTCACAGTCTAATGCTTGTGAATACAAGGAAGACAGTTCTGTGAGCTATGCAGCAGGAGTTCTGTTCTCAAAACCTTAACCCCTCCTCAGTGGTTCCTCAGAGGCTTCTGCTTTCTATGTAAATAGCTTTGAAGTTTCCTTGGTTGGCAGTGAAGTGCATTTTTGTAACTGTACATTATTTAAAACCATTACGTTGATATTTGTAGATGTTCTTTGTTATATTTTTTGCCCCCAGCAATAATATTGATCATTTATATAAACACCAGTGAAATACCAGGGCAGCTTTTGCACGAAAACATGATATCTTGACATGTGAAAAGATCACCATTGCTATGGCTACATATTTATAGATCGCACATTTCATAGCAAAAAGCTATTAAAGTGAAATGGTTTGGTAATTCATTGGTGTTTATATAATGAATAGAAAATTACATGGCCACTTGAAGATACAAAATTTCTCTTCTCATGATGAAAAATATTTCACTCGTTCGCTGCACTTACTTGTAAAATATTATTCACCATTCGAAGAGAAATTTCGTATCTCCACCAGCCATGTAATATTCTCTTTATATACCTGTCATTGGTCAATGGGAAACAGTGGGTGCCTTGGCTGTTTTTAGTTCAGGATCACTGTGTTAAAAATTCACTTTTTCCCTAGAGGTACCAAACTGGTTTACTGGAATGTAAAAATTTATTCTCACATGTTAAAAAAACAAATAACAATGAAAAGGTGGGGTTGGTAATTTTAACAAAGTCCTACTTAGGTTGCAGTTTAAGAAATAATTGGACCCCCAGATCTCTTTCTAAATGGGTTTATATTTTAAGAAGGTAAATGTTTGTCCAGTCAACGCTGTTGCTTCCATGAAACTGTCCCTGATAGCCAGTGTTTAGATAAAACAGTTGAGCAAATTGAAAATGGCTTAGAACATGGTTTTGCTGAAGATTGGGTAAACTCCGTTTAAATATCCGGCCCTTAATATTCCAGCACCATTTTTTCTGTTTGCAAGAGCAATTTTATTTGTATCATGGCTTTTGCCTTCATATCTAGGGAAACCAAAAAAGGGACACATTATGAGTCAAGGCTTACATTATGATTCTGCGTGTACTTACTTTATTATTAAATTTTTAAATGCTTGTACACAGAAATGGTCTTAACTTAACTGATAAGTCTTGCTTTCTTTCTTTACTATTTATTGTTCAATGTAAAAGAGTTTACTGACAACAAAGTTAAAATTATTCAAAGACAAATTATTTTCTTGAAATTATGTTTTTGTGCACATTAATTGGAGAAAATTATGATAATTATTAACTTATGATCATCATAGTGCAAATTATGTAGGGGTGTGCTCTGTTACTGTGTTCAAGAATGAGAATAGAAGGAGAATCTTGAGAAATCATTGCCAGTTTTTGGAAAAGTAATGTTTTATTACCACTTTTACTTCTTGGATGAGTCTTGACCAAATCCGAAACACCTTCTTCCCACCCCTGTTTCCCTACTTTTGTACCTCACAATTTTGCCGGGCTTTTTTTCTTTTCTCTGTGTATTATCATTCTTGGATAGACGCTTATTGCATGCACACTATATTTTCAACAAATTACTATTATGTCAAAATTGTTATCACCATGTTAAACATAGCTAGAGTTTTTGCTGAAGGATTGAAAATAAAGTGCTGCCTTATGATGCTGTCTGTGTCTTTCGTCCTTTATCCCAGTGGTACTCAAGTTGATTTTGGCTGAGAGTATGCTCCTTAAGTGTCCAAATAATATTCTTGTTTCTTGGTGATGCGGAAACTGTTGTTGGTTGATGGGGGGCAAACTAATTTTTGTGAAGCCGTGATCAACCATTTTTGGTGTCTGTGAATCGTGATGTGCTGAAAAGCTGTTCTGTGAATCGTGATGGAGGTACACTCCGTGAAAGGTGAACTGCCAAAATCATCGATTGTGAACACGTACATTGAAGATCAATAGAAGACATTAAATAATATTATAATTGACTTATTTGGCCAATTGACCCTAACTAGCACCTGGTGGTTTGATTTAACTTCACTTTTGACTTCACACTTCAGACCACCTACAGCTGGCTTCCTTGGGGATATTTAAAGCCACACAGGGATCACCCTAACACGTGGCCGAGATCAAAGGTCAATAATTACACCTACTTGTTTGGTGACTCATGAGACGCAAAATTGTTGTTCGTGAACTCATGACGAGACCCTCTTGGTTCACTTTTTTTTGGCAGTGTGGGTATTTTTCAGTTTCTTTTCAGTAGTTTGAAGTACATCATTTGGTGATTACACCTGTCAGCAACACCAAGAAACTACCTATAATATGTACATGTGCTTCATTTTAGAAGGGTTTTGCATACCTTCCTTCTATAACACCATCCTTCCCCGAATAAGTGCCCACCCTTTAGGCTATAATATCACTCACGCCCCTCTCGAATAAGCACCCCTTCAAATTCTAATGGATCAAGAGGAATGCTACAATCTGCATATCGTTGACGAGTATGATCTTGAGGATGAACTAATAAATATTAAAATATTATTGATATTTTATAACACGTGTACGGATACAACTGTGCATAATGGCATTACCAACGATCGTTTTGACAAACAGAAGACGTAAGAATATTGACTTTTTTAATTAAAGAGTTTAATAGCTGAAGCTTTATAAGAACCCTCCTTTGAGCAGAAAATTCAAATAAGTTGTTTAACTAACTTTGTCTTCTGTCAGAAGACAATATTGTACAGCAAATCACCTGACCCCTGCCCCTTGCCCACTTTTGATAGCCCCAAAATTTATATTTTGGCTGGCATTGTCTAATAAATTATTTAGTTCACAAAGGCAGGAAAAAATCAAGTATCTTAAACAATAGGGTCAACACAAAAATTAATGATTGAAAAATATTACTTTTGATTCCTGCCTATCCACAAAGGTAGGACAAAGTTTAGTACCGAATTTATTTGATTAAAAAACCGTTTGTTAAAATTTTTAGCGTTTCAAATGTGGCATTTATTCAAGGGCAGAGTTTATTGGAGGTTGACGTTACATGTCTCCTTTTTTTGCGGTGGTAAAATAATTATCGTCACAGTCTGGATGGTGTTGAAGACCAAGTTTTGCCGAGTTTTTTTTTTATAACCCTGAAATTTAAGGGAAAGTTCATTTATAATGACAAGGGGGGAGGGATGAAGATATTGAGGGGGGGGCTCCGAAAATTTTTAGACACCCGAAGGGGGGGCTCTGAAAAAATTGTTGTGCTAGGAGGGGGG